AAATATTCAACTTTATAACAAGAAAAATCTGAGGTTGGTGTCAAAAATTGCCGCAAAATTTCTTAAGATGGAATATTTATTACAACGTTTCGGCCGTTGTACTCTCCGGCCTTCTTCAGCTATGGGTAAATAGCAGGACAGACGGATTTTGTAGCCTTGGATGGCAACTGGTCTACCGCAGAAAAAAATGGCAACCTACTACGGGAAAAATTCTGCCTCATCAGTCATGTATCAAAAGATACATGATCGCCTACGCATGTATATAATGAAAGCAGTGTCCTTAGAAACCCATAGGTAACAGTTTATTTCATTGGATCAGGCGCCCATCTCTTCAGACCAAAAAAATTATAACAATAAATGGATTATAAATTCATCCAGACACATCCAAAAAAAAAAAAAAAAAATATATATATATATATATATATATATATATATATATATATATATATATATATATATATATATAACTTTCATAAAACTGTTGTTGGTACATAATGATATCTATTTAAATGCATATTGTATTTTTTTTACTGTTGTATTCTAAAATGACTCAATCTAATTTTCTACTTCGTCAGTGGAAACTTAAAGTCCGAAAAAGACTTGAAATTCCTGGGAAACCTAATGAGGAAACAAGGCTGAGTCAGTTCCGTCTTAACGTTAGTTTCTACAGCCTTGAGACCAGTACACCAAGTTGAACTATCTGTGCTTCTTGGTGAAAATCAAATTAACCATCTTTTTACCAGTAGAAGTTTTTTTTTTTTAAATTATTAAAATTATGCCTGATAAGTCGACCTGGGTGTGACGATAAACTATATCTGGCAGCAAGGCAACGAAGTATTGTCTGATACGTCGTCCTGAGTGTGACAATAAACTACATTCGGCATCAAAGTAACGAAGTGCTGCCTGATAAGTCGTCCTGGGTGTGACGATAAAACTATATCCGGCAGCAAGGTAACGAAGTGCTGCCTGATAAGTCGTCCTGGGTGTCACGATAAACTACATCCCGGCAGCAAGATATCGAAGTGCTGCCTGATACGTCGTCCTGGGCGTGACGATAAACTACATCCGGCAGCAACGTAGCGAGATGATGTTTTATAAGTTGGATAGAGGGCAAGAGGGACAGAAGAAAACGACGTATAACACTCGACAAACTTGAGTAAATGGATAGCGGAACAGGGTTTAAAAATAAGGAAAAGACAGAATTTATTAAGAGCTGCAAAGGACAGGAAATCGTGGAGAGTCATGTACGGTAAATTGTAGTACGTCCAGAGGGAACACGTCACATAAAGAAAGAGGGAGAGAGAGAGAGAGAGAGGGTGTGAGAGAGAGAGAGGGTGTGAGAGAGAGAGAGGGTGTGAGAGAGAGAGAGTGAGAAAGCGAAAATATCCCGTTTTTTAATACTTTGTAGCCCTCTCTATATATTAATCAAACAAAGACAGAATTTATTAAGAGCTGCAAAGGATAGGAAATTGTGGAGAGTCATGTACGGTAAATTGTAATACGTCCAGAGTGAACACGTCACATAAAGAGAGAGAGAGAGAGAGAGAGAGAGAGAGAGAGAGAGAGTGAGAAAGTGAAAATATCCCGTTTTTTATTACTTTGTTGCCCTCTCTATATATTAATCAAACAAACGCATGCACATGCGCACATGCATTCACTGTCTGTATTAAGATACGACATTAGGTTTTGAATAGAGACAAGATTTGCGTTTGAATTTTCAAACACAATAATGTGCATAAAAATATTTACATGTTTTACATGGGTTTATTACAAAACTTATTTCATGTTTCACGGAAACAGCTCCCCCACCCAAGAATCACTGCTTTGTGGAACAAACTACCGTGTAGATAATTACCCGAACACTACAATGTCGACATCTTCAAATCTAGGGGTCAATCGTCGTCTGTCCTACATCAACATAATCCACACTACCTACTTGAGTGACAAAATATATAAAGAATATAAGATATTCATTTATATATATATATATATATATATATATATATATATATATATGAAGAAAAATATATACGGAAAAAAACAAGCAAAATCCTTATATACAATTATGTTGTTTTAATGTTAATATGTCAACGTCTGACGTTTCGGTCTAATAAACCATCTTCAGGACATATTCATAAATTATAACATTATCAATACAACATGACAAAGACGATGTACATAAGAACAAACGCACGGTTAATACTAGACCTGGCTTCTTTAGTATTTCCCCTTTTCTAGCGAGATTAATGCTCGACAAGCGTACATATAAATTTTAGTTCAAAATAGAATTCTTTTCATTTTTCATTCAAAATACTCAAATTTTAGGAATACGTTTTCACAGCGTCGCCCACGTGACGACAACGTGACCATGTTTTAAACGGGGCGCTGATCTTATAAAACTTTCAGTTATTTGTTTGGATAAGTCTTGTTCTAATGTACATCGTCTTTGTCATGTTGTATTGATAATGTTATAATTTATGAATATGTCCTGAAGATGGTTTATTAGACCGAAACGTCCGACGTTGACATATTAACATTAAAACAACCTAATTGTATATAAGGATTTTTGTTTGTTTTTTCCGTATATATTTTTCTTCATACTGTCAGATTTATATCCATATATTTGCTTTTATATATATATATATATATATATATATATATATATATATATATATATATATATATATATATATAGATGACTCTTCCGTTTTTTCGACGGTTCAATTTTTATGTTTCGTATGAGACAACCACCCTGCACATACTGAAGGTCTGACCGTCATATGGGCTGATGTATTAGCTCGAGATTTAGTGTTGGTTCTTAATTTGGGTATTATAATACTAATGTTTTCAGCAATCATTTTTTTACCAGTGCTCATATTGCAATTTTTTGCTTTTATCATTACATGTTTTTACCAGAGCTCATATTGCAATTTTTTGTTGTTGTTATTATCGCTTTTCTCTGGCACTCCTTACTGGTGCCCATATTGTATTCATTTCTATGCTTGGTCGGCTCAGGAGATTTTTGTGGCCTATTTCTCTTTTGTCAGAATCTATTCATAAAAATATGGGCATAATAGTAAATGCCCAGGCCTCGTTAACAAGCAGAAGTAAATTGGATCCGCCTAGCCCAGATCTCTGTCATTCGTGGCTAGGGTAATAAACAGAAGAGAAATAGCTCCACTCCAGGGGTCTACTCTCCTATCCCTGAGCCAACAACTCCCCATTACACTGAGAGGAGTAAGCATAAGGCGTCCCAAAGGAAAACACAGAGAATGCTGATCAATATCTGGATCTAAATCCATGTGCCTAACTCCACACAACTGTTAGGTTGATGCAAAAGTTTCCAGCATAAGTTTTTGACTAAATCCTTTATTTATGAACGATTAATGGTATCGTTATTCAGACATTTAAATGTTTTCCATGGCTTTACACCAACTTTGAGCTAAATAATTTATAAGAGAATCTGAGTTTCCTGCAATGCAGGTTTTAAGAAAATCTTTATTCACATAAATTCATGGCGTCACTATTTCGTAATCAAAATATCTTACTTGGCTTTCTATAAACTTATGCTACTTCTTTCTTTCTATGTGCCGTGTCCTTTCAGGACGTAGACGATCATGGCCCTCCACTTCCTTCTATCCCTTGAAGCTCTCAACAAGTTCCTTCCCTCAGCTTCCTCTCCCCAGATCACGTTCTGTCATCCACTTGCTTAAGTCTCCTAGGTATGTCATTCCCTTGTTTCTCTTTCCCTTCTTTCCTTTTATGTGCCATGTCCTTTCAGGATGTAAGCGATCATGGCTCTCCACCTCCTTCTATCCCTTGCAGCTCTCAACAACCCACTTCCCTCTGCTTCCTCCCCCAGGCCACCTTCTGTCACCCACTTGCTTAAGGCCGTTAGGTATGTCATGCGTTGTTTTCTCTTATCTCTCTTTCCCTTTATTCGACCCGTGAGTATCAGATTCTCCAGGCCCTCCTTCCTCATTATGTGTCCCAGAAACTTCAGCTGCCTCTTCCTGATATTAAGTATAAGCCTCCTCCTTGTTTGCAACCTCTGTAAGATCTTATCGTTGCTCACATGATATCCTCAGTACCCTTTTGTAGAACCACATCTTTTTATTCATAAATTTATAGCATTATTATTCAGGTATATATTTTCGACTTTCTATCACCATATTCTACCTTCCTGCTAAATTATGTATTCTATCATCTATAGATTGATGCAAAAGTGTCCAGCATTTTTTGAATAAATATTTCATTCATATAAATTCAAAGCATGACTATTCAGTTATCAATGCATTTTATTTGGCTCCCCATGGCCTTATACCAACTTTCAGCTAAATTGTGTATTTCATCAGCTTAGGTTAATGGAAATGTTTTCTTCATTGATTTTGACAAAATCTTTATTTCATAAAGATTCTATTGGTCATAAAAAAAATCATAGCATCTTTATTCAGTCATTAAAATATTTTCTTTGCCATTTTATGACATTTCATCCCGTTCAGCTGAATTGTATATACCGCCATATTAGGGCTAACGGTCATATCACCAAAGTTAAGCAACGTTTAGTCTAATCAGTAGCTAGATGAATGGGCGGCTGGAAACCATAGGTGTACGTGTGGTATGGTTTACAGCCATATCACGTTGAAACATAGATTCCCATACGATCACTGAAGTTTCAAGCCTGGCTAGTACTGAGGTTACTGAATGGGAATACCAATTGTTGAAAGCTTGGAGTTCAGGTGGTATGGCTTATGGCCATATGACGGTGAACACCGATTTTCGTACGAGCCTGGTCATTACCTCGCTGGATGACCGCTTGGAAACACCAGGTGTTGTAAGCATAGCTGTGCTGGTGGCATGATTTACGGCCATATCACGTTGAGACACAGGTAACTGTACGATCACTGATGTTAAGCGACGTCGAGCCTGATCAGTACCTAGACGGGTGACCGTTTTGGAATACCATTTGTTATAAGGTTAGATGTTCAGGTGGTATGGCTTATGGCCATATGACAGTGAACACTGGTTTTCATACGATCACTGAAGTTAAGCAACGTCGAGCCTGGTCAGTACCTAGATGGCTGACCTTTTGGGAATACCAATTGCTATAAGCTTGGATGTTCAGGTAGTATGGCTTATGGCCATATGACGTTGAACAGCGGTTCTCGTATGATCACCAATGTTAAGCAACATCGAGCCTGGTCAGTACCTAGACGGGTAACCGTTTCGGAATACCAATTGTTATAAGCTTGGATGTTCAGGTGGTATGGCTTATGGTCATATAATGATGAACACCGATTCTCGTATGATCACCAATGTTAAGCAACGTCGAGCCTGGTCAGTACTTGGATGGATGAACGCTTGGAAGCACTAGGTGCTGTACACATAGGTGTGCGGGTGGCATGATTTACGGCCATGTCACGTTGAAACACCGGTAACAGTACGATCACTGAAGTTAAGCAACGTCGAGCCTGATCAGTACCGAGATGAGTGACCGTTTGGGAATACCAATTGCTGTAAGTTTTGACGTGCCGGTGGTATGGCTTATGGCCATATCACGTTGAAACACCGGTTCTCGTACGATCACCGAAGTTAAGCAACGCCGAGATGGGTGACCGTTTGGGGATAGCAGGTGCTGTGAGTTTGGATGTGCGGGTGGTGTTATGAATAACGGCTGGCAATTGGAAATCGAATTATCGAGTTCCAATTCGAATCGAGTGCGTTATATTCACCCACGCGTAAATACCTCCACCCCCGGGAAAGGTGTGGATATATCTCTTTTACTCTTAGCTATGGGTTAATTAGTAGAACGTCTATCAGTAAATCATTATTCTATTCTCCCTACCCAAAGATATTTCCTACAATAGTTATTTCCACGATGTTTACAACATTACACGGACTTTTTTCCTCACATTTATTGTCATATACATGATGTTTCGGCAGGGTTGGGGCTAGGTTTTTTAGTGCCAAAAATTCACTCACTGACGGATACATGGCCCAGCGGATAAAAGTGTTGGTTGAATTAATCCAAAAAATGGACTTGACCCAAAGAGTTGTGAGTTCGATACTTGGCCACAGCAGAGGGAATAAAAACTTGGTGTGATGAATTACTAAAATAGAATTAACCGGGACACCATGAAAATGCATGGCACGTAGAAGTGATCTGTTTAAAATTCCGACGTATATCACCTGAAGAAGGCCGGAGCGTACAACGGTCGAAACGTCGTGAATATGACAATAAATCCGAGCAATGTAAACAGTGCAAATATGCAAAAGGTTGATAAACCGCAAAAAAAAAAAAAAAAGTCGATCAATCAATTCGTCATGATAGGTTGATGCATAAGCTTTCAGATTTTTTTTTATACAAATAGATTCATAGCATGATTATTCAGTCATCAAAGTACTTTTTCTGGATTTCTTTTATCGCCTTGCCTGAGGGTGAAAAAAAAGAAAAAGAAAAACACTGAAATCTCATTTGACAAAATTTACCACGTCTGTCTTGGCTCATTCTCGATATCCGATATGTTTGGAGTAATTTAAGTTTTATATATACTGGAGTACTGTGTGTGTGTGGGTGTGTGCGTGTGTGTGTGTGTGTGTGTCACTATTCTTTTTTAAATTTATTATCACTACATTTTTTTTTCGTTTGAAATTCTGCGTCCCTAAGAACTTTTGCGCCTGGGGATGCCGCCCTGGTGGTCTTTGTGCACGCCATGCCATTGCATCAAATACAAAACATTTCCCCCAACTTCCATTTAGATCGAGTTGTTAAAATCATTAGATACGATTTTCTTTGTTTTGAATTCTTTTAATAAATCCGTCGCCAGTGACTATTTTGTCTAAAAACCATTTTTTTTTAATGCCGGGCTAGAATTTAAAAAAAAAAAAAAAAAAAAAAAAGAAAAGAAAAGAAAAGACAAATATTTAAAATGTTTATCCATTTTCGTTTCTCTAATTTCATGTAGAACCCATTTTTCGAACTTCTGGATGTATCCGAGCATTTTCCTGGACTTTATTAAGGTAAGTAAAGAGATTTTATTTTACTTGCATTATTTACACTATTCAGACTGTTATCCTCATCTTCATTGCCATATTTATCACAACATTTCGGCCGTTGTACGCGCCGGCCTTCTTCAGGTGATTGAAAATTCGAACCGACCCCTTTATTTCGTCCACCGGGATAGATTGTTCTAGTTCCACGTGCCATGCCTCTTCCTGATGTCTCAGTTATTTCCCTAAATATTGTCAAATCTCCAAGTTTATGGTTCAACCCTGCTGTGGTCTGGGATTGAACTCTCAGATTTTATTTTGTATCATGGATTTATAAACAGAAGTAAGAAATGTAGTTAGTTCATTAGGCATTAAATTACACCATTTAGCATCCTCTGTAGTTCAACTTGACTTTCAGTTAGCCTGAATTATGAGCGTTCTTAGTTTTTAAAAAAATTGAAAAACTAACGACATTTTTGCTTCCGTTTCGTTTCAAAATAAAATCCTTACATTTGCCTTGATTAAGTCCACCAGAGGACGAAACGCGTTGGTAAAGAATAGTTTTCCTTTTGTTTGTATTCGTTCTTGATTATGTTTCAGAAAAAATGTTCAACTTTTTCTTTTTGTTAGCAGCGGCTTCTGTGATGTTCCTATTGAAATGTTCTTACTCGGCTGTTCAATGCACGGTACAGGGTGGGACAGAGAGGACGGACGTTTTTTGAAAATAATAGCCATTTCAAAAACGCCCGTCCTCTCTGCCTTACGCTATACTTCTAAAATCTGCCAGTAGAATTACATCTCTCGGTTTCCTCAAGTTTTGTTTTTATTTGTGACGAAATTACCCAATATTCACAATCACGTCGGAAATTAGATATTACGTAACGCATTAGAATACCAATTGCCGCCTCCCGTCAGGAAATAATCGAAAATTGCTCTTCACAACCTCCTATCACGTGTGGCGACTATGAGTTTTTCCCGCTTTTCTGAGGCTTCTGCCATCCCTTTCTAAAAACATGTCAGGTAAGTGGCTCGCTGCCTTCCATACAGCGCATAGCCTACTTAAACTTAAATGACGGGACAGGGTTTAGGAGAAATAATGAAAAGATAAAATTTATTAAGAGCTACAAAGGACAGGAAATTGTGGAGAGCCATAATCGTCTACGTCTTGATAATGAAGAAAACTCGGTTCATTTTCTATTCATATTCAGGCGGTCGCTCCAAGTTCTGGATTATATTTTTTTCCAAATAAATTGAGTTTTCCTAGTAGTTCAAATAAGTCTTCGTGCTGCACCTTGTTAAATCCTTTTGCGTTATCTTTATTGCTCTCTCTCTCTTTCTCTGATGCAATTAAAAAGCGGTTTTCAAGAAGAAAAGGCACTTGCATTTACTCTACTGCTTAGGTTTATGATTGTTCAAACTCTTTCAAACAGGATTCCCCTTGCTTCTGCTGTCTTCTTTTGCTTTTTTTTTTGTATGCCGTGTCCCTTCAGGGTGTAAATGATCGTGGCCCGACACAATTGCCTGTCCTTCGTAGCTCTTAATATATTTCCGTCCCGGGTATGACGATAAACTACATCCGGGTCCTGGGTACAAACGATAAACTACGTCCAACAGCAAGGCTTCTGATCAGGAGGTTTTGAGGATCGTGGAACCACCTCTCAATTGCTGATGTTCCCAGGTCCACCCTGACCCCGTGTGGTAGCACTTGTTAGAGTCCAAGCTATGAGCAAAGAGTCAACCCCCTCCAAAAAAAAAAAACTGTGGTCAAAACACTATGAAAAGTGTAAAAATAGGTTTTAATACCAGAAATACTTTGTAAAAAAAATTATCAGCAATACATTTTTGAAAAACAAATATTAGCAGCGAAGGAAAATTCTTACGAGAAATAGATTTTTGAAGGAAAAAATATTACCAGAAATAGAATTTTGGAAAAAAAAATATTACCAACAATGACAATTTTGTCGGCATTAAATAACCCATTGAAGTTGATATACCGTAAAACAAACCAAACCAAACTTAATAAATTTACTCTTTTTGTTATTACTCTTGTTCCACGACCCGCTCACTCAAGCTGGCAATGCGTTGCTTACCTCTGTCCCTCTTGCTTTCAATCTATCCTGTAAGTAACAAATTTTGCAAGTTCTCTTTCCTTATTATGTGCAATAGAAATTTCAACTATCTCTTCCTGATGTTAAGTATAAGTTTCTTTTTGCTTCTATTTTATCTAAAACGTTGTCGTTGCTCACATGTTCGGCCCATGGAATTCTCAGTATCCTTCTGTAGAACCACATTTCTATTGCATCAAGCCACTTCGTCATCTGTGAGGTAACTGTTCCACATTCACTGCCAATAGGAGGTCAGATATCACGTAACAGTTCAGTACTCTTTTCCTTGTTTCTAACGAAATTTTTTTTTTCTGTTTCTTAATACTCTGCTTAGATTTTGGAAAGCATCTTTGGCCATCCCAATACGACTTCAGTGTCTCACATTCCGCCCTCTGTTAAAACATTTCGCAGATATTTAAATGTCTGTACTTGATTGATTTTGGTATCTCCGATTTGAAATTTGCATCTTTGTCTCATCCTTTTGCTAACAACTATAAAATTCTGTCTTCTTGCAGTTGATGTTTAATCCTTTCTTCTCGTATTCCGTCACTGCCTTCTGTAGGAGCTTTTGTTGTCTACTATCAACACTGTGTTATCTGTATATCTTGTGTTCTTAAGACATTGCTCGCCAATAATGAATCCTGATGGGACTTGTAGTTCTCTCAGAATAGCTTCACAGTATAGGTTGAATACGTTCGATGAGAAGACACCTCCTTGTCTTACACCCCCCCTTCTAATACATAAGAGTTCATTACTCTTTTCTTTGTTCTTAACGAGTTTTATGTTTCTTAATAAACTGTTTAACTTTTGGAATGTATCTCTTGGCTAGACCAAAGTGTGGCATATTTCTGTCCACCGTCAAAGCACTTTCCAGATATTTCAATTTTTGTACTTGTTTGATTTTGGTATCTACAATTTGTAATTCGCACTTTGGGCTCATCCTTTTGCCGATAACCATGCATTCTGTCTTCCATTTTCTCTAAAACGTCGTCGTTGTTCACATGTTCGGCCCATGGTATTCCCAGTATCCTTCTGTAGAACCACATTTCTGTTGCATCAAGCCTCTTCGTCATCTGTGAGGCAACTGTTCCATATTCACTGCCAGTAGGAAGTCAGATATCACGTAACAGTTCAGTACTCTTTTCTTTGTTTCTAACGAAGTTTTTTTTTTCTGTTTCTTTATACTCTGCTTAGCTTTTGGAAGGCATCTTTGTCCATCCCAATACGTCTGCAGTGTAGCACATTCCGTCCTCTTTTAAAACATGTCGCAGATATTTAAATGTTTCTACTTGTTTGATTTTGGTATCTCCGATTTGAAATTTGCATTTTTGGCTCATCCTTTTGCTAACAACTATAAAATTCTGTCTTCTTGCAGTTGGTGTTTAAACCTTTCTTCTCGATTTTCTTCATCTTTAGTAGGAGTTT